GGCAAAGGCTCTGGAATCAAATTCTTCTTTAACATCTCTAAATCTTCAACTTAATCAGATAGGAGATACAGGAGCAACAGCATTGGCAAAGGCTCTGGAATCAAATTCTTCTCTAACATCTCTAAATCTTCAAGATAATCAGATAGGATATACAGGAGCAACAGCATTGGCAAAGGCTCTGGAATCAAATTTTTCTTTAACATTTCTAGATCTTCAACTTAATCAGATAGGAAATACAGGAGCAACAGCTTGGCAAAGGTTCTGGAATCAAATTCTTCTTAAACATTTCTAAATCTTCAACTTAGTCAGATAGGAAATACAGGAGCAACAGCATTGGCAAAGGCTCTGGAATCAAATTATCCTTTAACATCTCTAAATCTTCAAAAGAATCTAATAGGAGATACAGGAGCAACAGCATTGGCAAAGGCTCTGGGATCAAATTCTTCTTTAACATCTCTAAATCTTCAAAGTAATTATATAGGAGATACAGGGCAACAGCATTGGCAAAGGCTCTTGAACCAAATTCTTCTTTAACATCTCTAGTTGTCATAACGACGAATTTTGGTGATGTGACAAGCCAATAATTAGCTTAGAAAATACGTTGCTAAAAATAGGACAATAATCACTTGAAAGATATAAAGGCAGAGTAAAAGTTAGCTAGTTTTTGGTGTGTTTTTCGAAGTCTCAATTATTATATTCCGATTCCTTGTTATCTTATCAATAAACGAGTATCACATTTACTCTGATTACAAACTATTTACGTATTCCCCTGAATTACTCAATATAGGTAGAATCACTAATCCCTATATCGGAGAAGGTGCAATTATCTGAGTAGCGAACCACAATAATTAATTGTGAGAATAACGCGTTGACAGACTGTCGAATTAATCCAACGGTAGATAGTCGTTCTATTTATCTCGAGAGCAATTAATTGTGTCTAGGATTAGTGTCGTGATTCAGCAAACGGAAGTGCTGTCAGCGTTAAAGCCTAAACGAAAGGTCACTAACTGTCAGTTTGGCTAAGCTATTAGTAGGAATCTCTACGAGTCACGTGTCATTCAGCTCTCCCGTGACATTTGACTCGACAAGATTTAAGATCTAATATAGCATAGGACATACTAATACAGGAGCAATAGCGCTCTGGAATCAAATTCTTCTTTAACATTTCTAAATCTTTAACTTAGTCAGATTAATATAGGAGATACAGGAGCAACAGCATTGGCAAATCAAATTCTTCTTTAACATCTCTTGATTTATATTCTAATAGCATAGGAGCAACAGCATTAGCAAAGGCTATGGAATCAAATTTTCTTCAACATCAATATGGACCAAGTTTTTGACTACGACGCGACGGTGGTGATTACTCAGAGTCAGAGTTAGAATCCTGACATTACCATTCAAATTCTGTGTCACCGGTTACAAAATTCAAATTGCAGAAACCAATCGTTCTAGTAAATACGTAGTAGATAAATGTTGCTAAAAACAGCGTAATTTCAGCTAGTTTCCATGTGTTCGAAGTGTTCAATTCATTTTTGTTTTTATTTCATATCATATTATCAATCTCATTTACTCTGAACATATACGTTTGATATTTAATTCCCTGAAATTATTCGATATAGTTATTGAACTGCTGATTCCATATTCAGCAAAGAGTAATTGTTTCTTGTCCCGCGATTACTCTCGTGGCAATTGCGATAATTGATTGTTCATACCTAAACGCGTTTGTTATAGTCATAAATACACTTATACCCCAAGCTATAGACTACCTATTTAATCCCATCGGTAGAAAACAGAGGCATACTCGAGGACGAATTAATTATCGAGGATTAGTGTCTACGAATCGACATTGAAGCCGTGAGTAGGAAAGCCTGGTATTAAAAGTCGCTAACTGTTAACTAAAAGTAGGAGAGCTACACTCCGTTCGAAATTAGCTAAATTCCTAGAGTCAATATCAACCGTTCTTCCGTGATTGTTGACTCGAAGAACAACAACATTAGCAAAGATCTGAATCAAATTTATCTCTAAATATATCATAGTTTTAAAGTCGAGTTCTGGCACACTTCATACCTTATTGCTCATTTTTTCTATGCTACCATAGTAAAAAATTTTCAGAAGATTAGTTTTAATATGGTCTTTTTTACCTTGACTGTTCAATTTCTTCTGCACTATAGACAAACAAAATTTTTATTGTTATTGTTGTACAAGCAGTGTTGTTGTTTTGCATTGACTATTGCTGCCTGTATTCTTTTCGTAAACTTTTCATAGTTACCGGATTCGAAATAATGAAAAACTTAAATGTGACATTTAATTAATGAGGCAGAAAAATATTTTGGGATTTCTATCTTCAGTTTAACGAGAACCACTATTACTATGCGTTATTACGTTGGGTTTGATCGTCTAATTTTACTCAAAAAGGAAATGTAATAGAAAAACTTTAACAGATCAAAACAAAGTGCGTTCGAAACTTTGCTTGAAAAAAAAAACAACTCTATTACAATTTCCTTATTGGTTCTTGAGAAATTTAATTTTAAAATTGACACCAAAAACCACTGGCTTCAGTTATCAATGAAAATAATAGATTCTTTATTTTTACTTGCTGGGAGAGCAAGATGGAGGCCGAGAAAATTCATTAATATTAACTTTTGTCACCTGCATGGGGTGATGATGTTCCTTCAATATGACAGTTGGGCGATGGATTAATAATTTGACAATGGATAACGAAATTCGTGCTCAGAGCAATTGAAGGAGTAGTCAACAAGAACCCTATAATAACACATAAATTAGGAAAAAAAATAGGAATTGTCATTACATTAATAAAAATTAACCAAATGTCTTCAAAATCAAGCGCTGAAAAAATGGTACAAAAATGTCATGCTTTATTGTGATAACGCACTGCCGCATAAGCATTACTCAGTCATAAACTTTTTATAACAGAGGAAGTCTTTATCCTCCTTACAGTTTAGAGTTGTTTTCCTGTAAAAAAGAGCAGGCGGGAACAGTTACAATAATGTTAATTGTCTGGATTGGCAGTTATTGAGAGCAATCCAAAAGAGGATTATTACAAATTCTTCGAGAACTGGAAGGGATGGCCGAAACTTTGTATAAAGGTTTAACAAAACTATTTCTGTATTTCGTAATTCAAAACTTTTCGACTGCCCACGTAATTTGCTGCATAACCAACTACCGTGGGAGAGCGTTCAGTAATTGGCCTTGGAATTTAGCTCTTTCAATCGAGGCTTGGCTAACCTCTACTCCTGCTAATGCAGTATTTCTGGCTTTAATTGTACTCACGGTTCTCCGATTAACCGATCAGGTTCCCGATTGCTAATTAATTCGCAGATATTCTTCTACATTAATCGGTGGGATTAATTCCGATAGTTCGTAGGCTTCAACGCGGTTATAGTATTACACCAAAGTATACGCGTTTCTTAGTAATAATTAACAACCGTATTCAGCCAATTACGAGAATTGATGGACAAGATCAATTCTACTCAATGATTGGAACCTGCGATTTATAGCTGCAAAATCGCAGGAATGGCCAGAACTAGATAATGGCCAGGGTGTTTTAAGATCCAATAATATTATATTAATAGTACAAGCATTAGGAAGGAATGTTTAGATTCAGGAATGGAATTCAAACGATAAGCTGAAGATGATGTTAGCTAGCGAAACTACATGTACCTTTTTATAGTTTCACTGACTAACTGTATTATAGACCTAAATATACGTTGGTATTAATTAACGAATTTGATTTAGAGTAGCAGCAGTTTCAATTGCATATGCATTGTTGGTATGTGCACAGGATCATATTTAGGCGTTAATATTAATATTATCTCCTAATTTAAGTATGCTAAAAGTCATGTTGTACAAACAATAGCATATTACTACGAGTACGCATTTATATTAATTAGCTGTTGATTTATTAAATAATCATCCCCCAACATCGTATCCACAATTTCGTTTATTGTCAAAACATTCTTGCATAGAAAATAAAAAGGCAATTATTAATAGACTTCCTTATGCGCGAAATTTTTGGGAATTGGCATTTAATGCGTCTTCTGGCAAATCGAAAAACATGCTAACTTCTTTTGCGAGTTTGAACTTCGACTTTTTGTTAAATATCAAAGGAGCGAGATTGTTACTATTATTATTATTATTATTGTCCAAGCAATAAAAGATTATTCGTCAAACAAAAGATAAGGAACTTGTGAAAAATCATTGCCTTGCCAAAAGAGCACATAATTGCTAGTAGAGGAATTCTCTTAATATTCTGGTAGTGAAGTTGATCGTTAAGAGAGCTGAACACCGAGCTCGCGGCTAGAACGCTGAACCTTAAAGGGGATCTGTAACTACTCAATTAACGATGTGTCATATCCTAATGTATGGTCTACTAGTCATTGCTCCTTCGAATCGGGACCAAATTGTCGGCGTCATATGCGCGACTTTTTATTTAATTTTTTTTCTGGTTATTACTAATAATTAGAGTATTACATTACTAGCTGTATTTTTTTGTATTTTTTATATCATTGTTTTCAATCGAATGAAGTTGGTGAGATGTAGGATGTCGATTACAATGAAAAGAGTGGGAGCTGTGATGAAATTGGGACATTATAATGTCACTAATTAATTATGCTGATTGGCAATAGGTAAGAAAAAGAGCGACGAAAGAGCAAAACTAGTTCGATTCACGCAGACTCGAATAGCTAAAACTGATAAATAAATGGTGTAAATGCTCTAAAGTGCTCCATAGTATAATATTAGTGATATATACTCATGAAGAGAGCATATACATATATAAAAATATGTATATAATGTAGAAATACTAATATAATAAATTTGCATGATCAAAATCATTATAATAAAGGAATGTGAATGAGCCGTATTCCTGTTGACCGGGTTAAACAGATAATTGTCGGCCTTAAAGTGAGTCAAACCGCGACCCATAGAGAATATTTTCACACTACAAACTGTCCAAGTTCATTTTTAATCTTATCGATGACTTATGCAACACTCATTCTCCTCTCCAAAGACTCAAGTCTAGCCTTCAACTGAGTCAATACATTCTCATAATCCTTCTTCGGCACATCTTGACTCTCTCGTCTACTGAATGCTTCTGGAGTACGAGGTGACATTGCGCTCTTACTGCTTCCTGAATATCCGGAATCACTACTAACAGTGCTGATTTCACTTAGTCGTCTATCACAATCCAAAGGAGGACTCGAAGTAACACAATTCATTCGTTCTTCGACACGAGCAACTCTCTTCTCGATCGACGTAAGATCGCTTATAACTTCACGTTGCATCTCACGAACTTGTCCGCGTACCAACGACTCGATCATCAAACCTGAAGATTGTAACGTTTGGAGTAAAGCTGACGTCTTGCGTATTTGCTCTTCCAGGGTATTTTTAAGCGAATGTGTGTCTGCAACAGCGTCATAGAATGTGTCAAACACTTGGATAAAGGAATCTTTGGATCGATCAGAAGATGGAGCAGGAGAATTACTCGCCAAAGACTCTCGGCGGGGAAGCGTTGAAGAGGGAGCATGAGGGGCGGTTGATGGAGTTACTTGAATATTAGGAACAGGCCTAGATGCATTATGACAATCGGATGAAATTAGCCCATGAATACTCGCACTTCTGGAAGCGGGATGAACGGTCTGGCTCTGATTAGATTGCCTGCAAGCTGAAGAGAATGCAGACTGAGATGGATATCCAGAGACGCTTGCCCGATGACCAGCTGTCATTGATGTATGTATCGGTGAATTATTATCCGATGAACCGCTTGCACTCGCACTTCTGTTGACTCTAGGTGGAGAATACAAACTAAGATTCTTAGAATTGCGGTTGACCCGATGTTGAGAAATAGAGTGCCTCTTTGTATTTAGATGTCTATTTGGATCCCACGCTGCCGGAAAGTTCGAGCTTGAATGGGCATTATAACCTGCCACTGCAACAGAGTGCCTTCGATCCACAATACTTTCTTGCATCAGTCGGTTCTGTCGTACCTCTCCAACAGACTTTTGCTGTTTCAATTTGAGATTATTCCTCACGCGTTCCATTGCTTCTGGATTGTTTGTAGTTTTGGTGATAGCCGATGGAATGACTCGTCTTCGTTTTCGACGGCTATTATCATCATCCGTGACTGAAGAAACCGGTGAAGACGATCGAGTGGATCGAAGTGTCTGGTCAGGAGATGATGGAGTTGAATTGGCAGGTGAGGGCTCTTGTTTGACTATCGGTGCTGCATTGAATTCGATACGACTAGTCGGTGATGCAATTCGCGTCTCGTATCTATCATTCGCATCATCATTGTCGAGTACATCAGCAATTGATATTCTGCCACCTTGACTGCGTTTTCTACTATTAACTGGTTGATCAGCGTTAGTATTAGACGGCGGTGGTTGTTGCTGTTGTTGTGTTGCATGCATTCGCATAGACGTCCACGTCCTAGAATCAATAGCAACAAACTCAAACTCGGCCTCAACATAAAGAGACTTTATAATCGGCACTTTTGCTTTCTTTAACAATCGATCGGCTGCTCCTGCTCTTATTTCGTCTCGAGACAATTTACAAAACTCGGCTAATAACATATTTCCCATTCGGAGTGCTGTTTCATTTAAAGCACGAGAACTCAAATATACATCTCCTGAACGTTCATAGAAACAGTATCCTGGTGTATCAAAATAAACATGTGGTATGTGTCCAGAATCATAAATATATCCTACACTAGCATTGAAGAAGATCGCATCAATGTCCCGTAAACGGTAGAATGGCTGATATATAGGTTGTGTGGGAGAAGAATTTGTGTCAAGTGATGTTGCTACTAAGGGGAAGAGGTATAAGCAGAACGGTTGTTGATTAGAGTATACTCCGAATTGAAGCCTAGTGACCTGCATAGTATAAATATATAAAATAAAAAAACGTGCGTAATAGGTGGATGGTTCTCCTAGCAAATAAGTCGTAAGAGAATGATGGAATAAAAGAAGTTAAGGATAAAAACAATAGGGTGTCGGAGTGGATGGAAATATTGGTGGTGTCGGCAAAGAGAGGGCGGAGCGGAGGAGGGGGGATGTCGGAAGGGATATTATATTAGGGAAATAATTGAAAGGAATGTATTAAGGCTAATAGCAAACAACCCTATTTCTTGTGAAAACCGGTTTATTTGCTTTGATTTTGCCTAAAGGAGTGATGACTATAGTTGGAATAATAGAAACCCTTTCGGTTTGGATCCGGTCAAAAGGAAAGGAAAACAAAGAGGCTTTGATTGAATGATAATAGATTGCTGTTTGCAAACGTTCTACTTTCATCATTAGGAAAAAATCCATCGAATCTCCGTTGGGCGTACAAATGTGTGACAACATTTTATATTAGCGTGTAATTTGATAGTGTTATATTGAATTCATTTTGCTTTACTCTATGGGAAAGTCGAAAGGTGGAATTGCAAAGGGAGGCAAGGGGCAATGCCCAGAGGCGTATCAGAGGATGAATTTCCTATATCAGGCGGCTGTCCTGATGACTCGGACATATATGGAAGAGAAACAACAGCAGGAGAAGCGGCACGAGGAAAGCAAAATGGATGGACAGGAAGAGAAAGATGCCATTGGCGATAAGGAAGAGAAAGTCGAGTCACTTGTATCGTTGGGAAGATTCTACACTAGCACGATGAAAAGCATTGGACGAAAGCAAGTTCTTAGGATGTGAGTATCGGTTGTTTGTTATTTTTGGTCTAGGGTTGTAAAATACTCATCGATTTTTTAAAGAGATCCTTCGATAAAGCGCAGTCTTTGCCAAAAATGTGAGTGTGTGCTTATCCCCGGACTTACATCGCACGTACGAATTAAATGTGAGTGTCATAATGCTTTGATTTAGTTTCAATAAAGTTTAAAATAAATCAACTATTTCCGTTTCGGGGTGTTTTTTTTTTTTTTTCTGTCCAAGCTGGGCCACAAAAGCAGATGCGACTTTCTTGCACCAAGTGTCTATACACTAGAAGAATCCCTATTCGGTCTGGATATACGTTGTTTTCTGAAAGGTCTGGGAAATAAAAAGTTCAAGTAAATTCTTACAAGCGATAAAATTATATATTGGTATTTGCGAGAGCGAAATGAATGAATCTACAGTACCGTAAAACGTTTATATTGATATTAAGGTTCAAGGACTGCACAAACATGGTGTTACAGAGATCCAATGCAATGCTGTTGAACCTCGAGGCTTGTTACTGTATAACAAATAAAGTGCTCGAGTTCCAGAACTGTATCACAGGTACCTCCGAATTAAAAATATTACTAATTGACAACGTGGTTTGAAACGTGCTTTATACGTAATTCGAATGGGACAAACAAATTGACTGTCTCGATACGAAACGATTAATTCTTATATTAAATCTTTTCGCACTTTATTGGTACCATGCAGTGTATTTGTAAGTTCTGTTCGCAGGCACATACATATACAGAAAAACAACTCTAGTCAGAAATAGATGAATTCAATACCCTTTCTATGCATGCACGTAGGGATAATTATTGTTTTTCTTTTCGGTGTTGATTATTCGGCAGCGGAGACTTTGACTCGTTGTATTCTGAAATTGCCAAAATTGGATAACTGGATTTTCCATATTATATATGGAAGGTCACATGAACCACCCCAGATATGCTAAACCGAAATATCGGCCAAGGAGTCTTTATTTGTACATGGATTTTCAACTAATTTACTGAAATCCGAATTTTCCCTGGGAATTTCTACTACACTTTCGCTTTGTCCCAATGACATCCCTATACAGAGTAGGTTTCTCTATCTTTGCCAAAGCTATTAGTGCCATCCCTTTATTCACACATGTTTACTCAGATTAATTATGCGCTTCGCGCACATAAACGAGATCCGTTTATAGAATTTATCAAGGTGAGAATAAAAAAAATGGATACTCTGTAGATTGAATGATAAGAATGTAATTAAGAACGCGCGACTGATTATATTAGGCAATGTTAATGACGCCATTTGTACTGTATGCGAGGCCTTTAAATGAAGATGGGGGAAATGATGATGATTATCAAGTAGATGCGAACGTTGCTCGTTATTGTGACATTTTATCTAGCATCGAAACTTTGATAGAGGTGAGCGAAGGGTTTGTTTGCATGACATTTACTTGCGCCTGGTTATCATTGATCCGATTCCAAATTGCACTTTTCTGTAAGGAACACATAAAAATGCAAGAACAATGTATGTCGAATGAACCGATCTTTTTGATTCTCTCAGTCTACGCCTATTTACAATGTCTATTGGTTCGCAGGCATCCCTGATCAGTCGCGCTTGTATCAGTTGGTACCATCAATCTCGACCTTTCACACTCCATTGCCCTTAAGGGAATCTTTTCTAAGGGCAAATGCCAAACATTCTATCGCCGCAAGAAGATTTGTCCCTCCTAGTTTCAACGACATTCGCAGGTTCGTTTCTATTATGATAAACATCTTTCTAATACTATTCGATCCTTGGTTAACATTTGAACCTTTTGATGTCATTTGAAGAGCAGAATATTGAATACTGCACAGGTGAGTTCTTTGTCCCCCATTATTGTCAATGTAAAGAGTTTGTTATTGTATTTTAGCTTAACCATTGCCTGGTATTGGCAGATCATTGCTATTGCATCCAATTTAAAACTTATTACTTTGTAAGTATTGCCTGTAATCATTGTTCTTTTTCTCGCAAAGCTTATACTAATCATACCTGTATAGTGATGGTGACATGACATTGTATGAAGATGGCGCCGATTTTGAACATGATTCGGCTCTAGTGCAGCTTCTTATTAAACTCTTAGAGTTTGACTTGTATGTATGTGTTGTTACGGCAGCCGGGTATCCTGGTGATGCAAAGCGCTATGAAGGGAGGCTGTCTGGACTGTTAAATGGTTTTAGAAAAGCCGAGTTACCCAAGGACGTTTGTCAGAAATTTTTCTTGCTAGGTATGAATAGCTTATCCCCATGCTGCCATTTACAATTTCCCATAAAGCAGACGGCTTATTTGTATTATTTGTAGGGGGTGAATGTAATTATTTATTCCAGTGTCAGGAAGATTATCATCTGAAATATATACCTGAAGAGTAAGTAAATAATAATTGTTTTGAAAGTGGAAAGATCGAATATCATACTCATACGCCCCACAGACAATATCAACCAGATTTCGTCAATTCATGGAAAGCAGAAGACATAAAAGACTTTCTAGACATTGCTGAAAATAATCTCCAGAAGTGTGTGAACGAAATGAAATTACCTTGTACCTTGTTGAGGAAGAGTCGCGCTGTTGGTATGTATTTAAATAGTTGGACTATTACTTTGATACTATAATTATTCATTGCAAATATTTAGGGATAGTGACGCATCCCGATGAGAAAATCTTCAGAGAGCAATTGGTATTTATTATTCCAAATTTCGAATCTAATTTGTCCTGCTCATCTTGTTCCTTTGACGCGTAAATTAAGACAAGTTTCAATTATAGGATGAACTCGTGCTTTCAACTCAACACAAGTTGCTTATCCAATCGCCATCCGGAAAGAAAAAGGCACTTCCATTTTGTGCATTCAATGGCGGCAGAGATGTTTGGGTCGACGTGTAAGTCATATGCATCTTTCGTATGCGTATATACCCAACGTAAACCTAAGATTAAAGAAATTCGCCATTATTTCAGCGGAAATAAGTTAATCGGCGTACAAATGTTGCAACAGTACTTTAATGCTTTACCAAACGAAACCCTTCATATTGGCGATCAGGTAAGTCATTGATGCATTTTTGTTCGATGTGTTTGATCTGCTAGGTTATTTATGTACAACTTTGTAGTTTCTGTCAACTGGAAACGATTATGCAACGCGCAGACAATGTTGTACTCTATGGATTATCAATCCCGAAGAGACACAGGCAGTTTTGGTAGAGTTGGATGCATTGCTAGAAGCGAAATCTTGAAATTTCAGTCTTAAATGATCGATTCGGTTACAAAAACTTTTCTGTCAATGGGTGTATTTCTTACTGACAACTTGAGAATGTTTGTTTAACTTATGAGACAATTATATTCAGTATCTTATTAATGTCACTAGCATTTACACTTTTTAATATTAACTATCTTATGCTCGCACACGTGAAACGGTCGGCAAACATCGATCTCACGTGATGCGTATTTTGTCATTACGACTTGATATCTACCTCTAGGAAAAAATTCAATCAATGAGAAATGATCTTGAATGGATGTGCTTCGGTGTTCAAGACGTATTCATCCAGCGAAATGACATCGACATCGCTGAACAATAAGTAAATACTTGAGTGTTTCAGCGTAGAAGAAACTGCAGCATAAATTGTACAGTATATATAAGTATACATACTTTTATGAATCAGAATATATGACTTACCTCTCAGCTGTATCACCCAAGTTCCGAAACATCGTTCATACCAGAGTACGCTATCTCAGTAGAACAATAGACTGCAAGTGAACAGAAATGTTAATTGTGAACAGACACTAGTATAACTGACAATCAAGATTTGCCTTTCTTACTTTGAAGATTTCCTATCTCCAATCCTATACTCGAGCGGAAAATGAAAAAGGTCTTAGATCCTTGAATACACAACCCTCAAAAATACGTTTATATACGCGAACTTACTTGATATTTAGCATTTCCGGTTATTCTGTATGCGTAGAATAAGCTTTCTATTACCTCTATGGAATTTATGAATTATGTCAAGACATGTATACTCATTCAAATTCAACTTTGTGTTGACAGGATGCTTACCTGATCTCAAATAGTACCCAACCAGTCTACTCATTTTCTGCCCATAAGTAGGCTCTTCCTCCCATTAGTTGGAATCATGTAAATACTTCAGGACCAAGACCATAACATGTCCTATAACAAGATTCTGTTAAATTCAACCCTAATTCAATAACCGAGTTGTCTTCCCACCGAGGAGAATGTTGCCGCTCATGAAATATATGAAATGTTTTTAAGAGTCGTAAGCAAAACCACTAGATGCTCATTTGGTATATTTATATTGTAATTCCATTGAGTTACGAACGTAAGATCTCTAAAGCCTTTTACATCAAAAATAAGCCTTTCTTTTGTTGGTTTGACGGACATGTCGAGTACGGATCTTTTAAAAGATACTGTACGCGACATAAATTGAATGATTCGTTAAATGCAGTAGAATGCGTTGATGAATTTGGAAATATTAGCGATATAAAATAAATACATACTAGTTGTAAATTTTAGAGAATATGGATCAATATACAGTCGGTTCTCCTGAAACTAGTGACTGTAAAGAGGGTGTGATGCCCTCTATACAATCTTAGTATATATACAATTCATTGTGAAGTGCTTATATATTGATTGGTAATATTATTGTAAATTCCACCAACTGGTTTGATATTTGTTTTTACTCATTCCCATCAAGGCGCGGCACGAATACGTCAAGAGCGTACGGGGAGGTTAGAACGAAGAGAACATCAAGTAATCGGTCTGCGCATTTGCATCTTCCATAGTAGTAGACGCGGTTTAAAAAAACGCAATTACAAATATAATAAAGGATCGGCCGTATGCTTGGGAACAATTGGAGACTCCAACAAGAAACATTGTCTTGACAAGAATTCTTAAAGGAAAAATGTCCCAGGCCTCCAACAGAATTATGGATGCCAAGTACAGTGTATTTCACAATTTAATGAGAACTTATAAGCTAACTAACAGTAATAATGTTGCAAATCATTGAGTGATGATACCTTACAGACCCCTATGCTTAATAGATAAAGTGTTAAACTTTCAAAAGGAGTTTGAGTCACTAAATCATAAGCAATGAATGATGTTAATCTTGTAGATTGACTTTATATGAACAGAACCAATTGCTAGCCACTAAATCCAAACTATCTTCCTTACTCCTCGTCAACCTCCTCTAACTCTACCTCTAAACTTGGCAAGCTGAAATCTGATAAGGGAGGTAATTGATGAAAACTATTTCTTGGTTTAGGCAGATTTCCAGTAGGTAAGAGCGTACTAGAATATTTACTCTCCTTCTCGAAACGTGATAAGGGTTTTACATCATTATGATAGATGATATTCCATGCGTTGTCGTATTTCACCTCTCCAACAAGCTTGC